AGCCTTTGGAATTGCATCATTTGAGGTTCATCACCTCCCCCCACCCTCCATCCTCCTTTCTCTAGTGGTCATTGAAGGGTGTTCAGAACAATGCTATCTTTGTCAATAGTTTAGGAGTGAGAACACTCCTCTTGCATTTCCAGGAGAAATCCCTAGGTCAAGGAGACAGTATTCTTCAGTATCATCTATGTAGGCAAGGGGAGCATTAAAAGAAAATATGGACATGATCTTATCCTTTTATATCTTGTTATGCAAACAGTTTTCTTGGCCTTACTTGTCTTATCACCCACTTAGAATAGAGTTTTGCTGGAGTGTTATTCTGGAGGGTGCACTGTGTAAGAGAAATATATATATATTTGTGGGGGGATAAATTAGTTATTTGTTCTATTGTTACTGGATGTATTGTATTCATCAACCTTTGCAATAACTGTTACTGACCCAAAAATAACAAATATCTGTACTGCTGAATATATCTTTATTATCCTGTACCTAGGTATTATACTTGAAAAGAAATAAAAAATATGCAAAAAAGAAAGTATGGACAGATCCACACCACTCGTGCATTTAAAGGGCATCCAACACACATCCAATGCACAAGATTTCCCCCCACAGAATCATGGGATCTCTGGCTTGTTTAGGGTCCTGTGAATTGTAGCTTTGTGAGTGGGAAACTAAAATTCCCAGGATTCTGTGGGGGATGTGCTTTAAATGTATGGTCTTCTTGGGATTCAAGTAGTACTGCCAGACAACTGTGGGATCAGCATCAGTTGCAGAATCAGGAGGTGAAGAGAAGTGGTTGTGACCTCACAAGTACCTGCCAATCAGTGCTGTGTACAGCTGGCCATCACCATTCCAAACTAACTGTTTGGAAATCTTTGCAGAGATTTATGTTTATGCAGCAAGATACGAGAAGAGTGTTGGTGCATTTTGAGAGCAAATCAACTCTTCTTTCGATGTCTCCCATTAAGCACTCTTCAGTTAGCATCCAACTACAATTCTAGACAATTTGGGTACATCTCAAAAGCAATACTAGAATGTTCCAGCCATTCCTGATTGAAAGCCAACCTAACATTTGACCACATGTAAACACAAAGCTCAAAAGGTCGCTGAATGGAAGACCTTCTATTCTGAAACACTTGATCCAGCACATCAAGGGAAATCGCCAGCTAAATTAGTTCTGTGCTGGGGCATTTAGAAAAGCAGCAGTACAGACTCAACATTCATTTGTTTGAGGTTTCCTGCTCACAACTACAATGTCTCCTCCCTCTCCTACAAAAAGAAGTACTCGTCATTCAAAGCTTCTTCTTTTTTTTGAAAAACTCCTCTTTTTTTGTTAAAATTCTTCAAATACTTTCCTCTTAAATGAATGCATGAAATGATGGCCTTCCAACATTTCCCCTTTGCCTATGAATCCGAATGATAGGAACCAGGTGCTAAGGCTGAGAGGACATTGTTCCACCAGCAACATCTGGCTCTTTAGGAGGCCATAGGAGAATCTTCAAAGATGCATCTCTGCCTCTCGCATGGTTGGGCTGCCCGTTGCCTGTCGCTTTCTCTTCTTGGATGTAATTTTCCCTTTGATTCACCTATAATTCTGAAGGAACTGGTGCATTTGTATCCATTTTGAATGCCGTTCTATACAAACGCTCCATTTGATCTCAAGGCAGATCTTTCCCTTTTTTTATTTCCTCTTATATGATCTCAGTATTAATTTAGGCTTTGGCTCGGGAACTGCACAGATCCACCCTGGGTGATATTATGCATACACTACCATTTCTTTATCCTGACCTAAAATCATAGCCACGCATTCACCTTGACAAAACTCTTAACGTTTGTTAAGAATTAATAGCTTCTCTTCCAATGTGTTTCGCAAATCAAGTACAAGTTAAGCTGCAAAACTTTATCATTTCCACAATCACACATTGCAGGTGTCGTGGGTCTGGAATATTATTGTGGACTGGAGTGGAGAACAAATAGCAGAACCTTGACTTCATGGAATATTGCATTGTGATTTGGTATGCCCCCAGTAGAGTTTTGCACCTGTCAGGAAATACAAGATTTTCTCATATATATATATATCTCCTTTTCTTTATCTGAACATTTAAAGTTGTTCCAAAGGGGCATGCAGATGAGTAAAAATAATGCACTAAGAATGTGTGCTACATAGAAGCAGTACACACTCTAGATGAACGTCTAATATTGTGGTTTTAAACAACTCTCAAGCATTTGGAAGATAGGTGACATTCTTGATTTTGCCTTCCAGCCTCCTCAACCAGGAGAGTGCCCGTGGGGCCGTGGCAAATCATGTCCTCTCTAAAAGAGGGCACATGTTGCGGTGAGACCTGGAGACTGACCTCCTGGTTGTGGGTGGGTCTATTGGTTAACCACAACACCCGATTGGTAGGTCCCTCATTGCTGGGTTTAATCTGGCCAATGTGGTGCAGTCTAAATGGATCGAGGGACCTAAATGAACCCATGCACATGTCCCAGAGCTTCCTCTTTTGGCTCGTGCATCGGAACACCTGCCTACCTCTCCCTAATTTTAGGGCATTTTGCAATTGACCTTGCTATGCCGCCGTGTGTCGTCTGTTTTTGGGACAGGAGCATGGCAGGAATTTTCCCCACTTGGCTGATTGGCTGTGGCCATTTGGGTTTCGCCTGCCGCGTAGCAATTTGTCACAACTTGTAAGGTTGCAGATAGGCACTGGTTCATGTGATAGGGATGGGAGAACGGTCTCGCCATTCCTATATGAAGGGTATTCTGTTAAAGGAATCCAGGGACTCAACTTGGTTTGGTCAACCCCCGAAAGGGGGTTGTGCCCATGCCTGAGTCCAGGGGAGCATCTGGGGAGTGAACAGAGTCTGTTCCCAGGCTTTTCATCTGCCTCAGGTGTTCACCCTTGGCTGACCTATGATAGAGCTCTGGGTCAGCACTACCTGCAAGGGTGTAGGGAGCTAGTCGAACCAGAGCCTATGCAACCACTCACTTTTCTGTAATCAATAAAGTTGTAGCCTAAATTCTGCCAAAACCCCAAACTATAATTTGAGTCAAATCTGTCTTTATATAGGGGGGAGGTTTCTGGGTTTGAACACGCAACTAGCAGTGCTTTTTAAACACTGGAAACAAAGTTTAATGTTGCTGTTTTTTAAAAAAATTAACGAGTGGAAATACAAAAATATTCCATCATTATAAAAATAAATACATTGCTTCTACAAAGCGCTCAAGATAGACACTTCCAATTTCCTCTAACTCCACCATTGTCATCTAATTCGTCTATTTTATCATAAGCATATAAAATCAATTCCTATCCCTGAAATTCCTAACTTTTCCTTGATCTGTTAAACCACAGGATCCCAGCTACCTTCCATATCCTCCTCCTGCGTTTTCATCATCACTGATAGTTTAATTATCCCCGACTGCTTCCATAACTGTCGGATCTGCTCTCTTTAGCAGTCCTCCCTCCTCGACATTTAAATGGTTCTTCTAGCTGCCTCAGTAAGCAAAGGCTGCAGTGTAGACACCGTCCTGGTTACTTTACCCAGAAGGCCTCATTCTGAGGCTGGACCTCCTTGGCCCTTACATACATACAGATATGCTTTGTTTTATTTGTATGCTGCTTTTCCGTAGTTCAAACCTTGCTCAAGGCGGCTTAAAACACATTTATCAGTTACATATGATGTGAGACATTAGTGTTGTATACAGAATAAGGTTGGGAAAGAAGAAAAGAGGGAAGGGAGAAGTGGTATTCTTATATTTAGTGTGTACAGTGGTACCTCTGGTTGCGAATGGGATCCATTCCAGAGGCCCGTTCGCAACGTGAAAAGCCCGCAACCTGAAGCACCGTATCTGTGCAGGTGCGCGGCACGATTTGGTTTTGTGCGCATGTGCGAAGCGCGATTTAGTACTACTGCGCATGCACTAGCAGCAAAACCCAGAAGTAACCCTTTCCAGTACTTCTGGGTCACCATGGGACGCAACCTGAAAAAACGTAACATAAAGCAAATGTAACATGAGGTATGACCGTATGTGGGATTTTTATGTCAGCGTCATTTGGGTAGGTTCTCTTTCAACCTGAGAAAAGGACAACCAAGATGGTCTCTTTTGCTAGAGTGAGACAGGAAAGAAGGGAAGATGGAGGTGTTGTAAGCACTGCTGCAACAAAAGAAATGCGCAAAAGAAGTGTGTTGGCAAAAAAGAAAGTGGGAGGTGAGAAGAGGAGAAAGGGTAGTTGAGGAAGTGGAAGAGTAAGGGCAGCAGTGGTTGTATGAAGAGGGGGCAAGGACCCTCATAATATCCAATTTATTACGATCTGTTGACAGTCCTAGAATAGTGAGCTGGCAAAGTGTGGCGTAGAGATCAGCGTGTTGAAATTTGGCTATACAGATCATAGTTCACATCTCTGATGAACCTAGAGATGCAGTCCATTTTGCAATGAGATGTTATAATTTAAGCTGCTAGCAAGATCTAATAACTCCACAAAAGAAAAGGAACAAAGTACCCAGCCTCTTCTTGATTTTCCCCCACCCCACCCCACTTCTTCTCTGCCTTTCTTTATGCTTGAAAGCCTCAGTATCACCTCATTCGTCTGCCAGACCAAAGAGGGTCTTCCGATTACCTTGGCATTCTGGCAGATGACATCATTGCTCCCAGAGCTGCATTCCCTCTCCACTCCAGCACTGAATGGCAGCAGCAAGGCCAGTTCACCCAATATAGACAGGGGGATGCTATATCTGCACTGAAGCCTGAGCTGCATCTCTGGAGTATCACCAAAGCATTTGTAGAACCGTAAAACTGTAAAGTTGAAAAGGACCCTAGGGTTATCTAGTCCAGGAATAGGCAAACTCGGCCCTCCAGATGTTTGGGGACTCCAACTCCCATCATCCCTAGCTAACAGGACCAGTGGTCAGGGATGATGGGAGTTGTAGTCCCAAAACATCTGGAGGGCCGAGTTTGCCTATGCCTGGTGTAGTCTAACTGCCTGCGACACAGGATTCTCTTTTGCCCAACGTGGGGCTCAAACCCACAACCCCAAGATTAGGAATCTCATGCTTTACCAACTTAACTATCTACAATATATTATAGGGGGAAATCAGAGATATTCAGGCCAAGCTGGTCTGCTATGTACCTTTTTGTTAAGAATAATCATTATATAAAATTTAAAAATGCACTTATGCTAAAGCATTGTTTATAGCTATATACCTATACAAAACCCTTCAAAACTACTGATTAAAATTCTGATCAAGGAAAGTGGAAAGACAAGCAAATGCCATATTATACTTTTAATTTATAGTTTGAAATAACTTCTGACCAATTGAATTGGTTCTTTAAGTAAGCAACAAACAGCACAATCTCCTGAAAGACCTGGATACCACCATATGCTGAAATGCAGAACGGACTCTGTCTTTTGCTTAAAACAAATGCAAAATTCTAATTTTCAAAAGTATTGATCAAGCGTCCTTAATCCATGGAGATATTGAAAGCAAGTCCTTGGATTTCCATATCTTTGACTTAAAGGAAAGAAAGGTTGTGTACCTTTTCATGCAGCTGGACTGACAACTCAAATCATAGCCGCTTGGTAGAAGATGAATAAGACCAAGAGACAAATCCGTCCCCCAAATTAGGGTTTCGCTTCCCCAGGGAAACACTAATGCAAGGCTACACTTTGTGGCTCTAAGTGAAATAGGTGCTGTGCTCTTCTTGATAGGCTCTATTAGAAGTCAGTCACTGATCATTTATGTATACATGGGAGTGGGGTTCCATTTCTTGTCTCCCTGAGTCAGGGAGAAAATGCAAGGAAGCAAATGGGACTAGAGAGCAACTGCTTCCAGGCAGAGCAGCAGAGCTCCCTCCTCTTTCGTTTGCATCAAAGGAAGCCCCCTACCATTCAACACCTTGAGCCCACTCAGGGTGACAGTAAAGTACAGCAGATATTTCCGCCCACTTGACCCAGCCTCGTGTGATTTCAAGGAGCAGGTCTCCGGGGGGTAAATGTTGCGTGCGTGAAATTCAGTCCGCCACCCGGCATTGAAGATACCGAAAGCAAAAACTTGCAGTCACTGAATCACTGGCTGATGTTGACAGACAGAGAAGAGCAAAGCCTGGGCATCCAGGACCACAGAGTCGTGTCTCAGAGGCCATCTAGCTCTCGGTGAAGGATCTTCGATGCAGGACGCAACAACACCTTGCTTCTGCTTGCTGTGGAGAATAGGCCACCTTCTCCTGGGGCAGCCTGCGCCATTCTTGAGCAGCTCTTAGGAAGACTTTCCTAAGGTTTAGCAGAACTCTGCCTCCCTGCAATTTCCCGGAGGTTCTCATCCTGCCCTCCAGCGCAACAGAAAACAAGTACACTTCATCTTCTGCATGACAGCTCTTCGGATATTCAAAGACCATGAACATGCCTCCCCTAATGTTCTCTGGATGAAACACCCGCCACTCTTTCGACTGATCCTCATAGGACTTGCTTGGGCCAGAGGGCGAGGAAAAAGAGGTATACTACAATCCTTTCAGAACACAGAGGATCATAGCTATTTATTTGTGCATAAACTATAGGCTCAACAACCAGCTCAAACCTCTTCACATGGTGGGCTTCTCAGGTAGACTTGGGTGGGAGCAAGAGAGCCAGTGTGGTGTAGTGGTTAAGAGCGGTAGACTCGTAATCTGGTGAACTGGGTTGACGTCTCCGCTCCTCCACATGCAGCTGCTGGGTGACCTTGGGCTAGTCTCACTTCTTTGAAGTCTCTCAGCCCCACTCACCTCACAGAGTGTTTGTTGTGGGGGAGGAAGGGAAAGGAGAATGTTAGCCGCTTTGAGACCCCTTCAGGTAGTGATAAAGCGGGATATCAAATCCAAACTCTTCTTCTTCTTCTTCTTGATTGCCTATTTCCTCCCAAGGTAAGCGGACGTGACCAAGATAAGTCTGCAGGATAGCTTACTCTATGGTATTAACCTCTTCATGCATTGATTAGACACGATGGTTATATGAGGCTGGTCATCCCACACTTTGCACCCTGAGAGCTTCTCAGATGTCTTATATTTTTATTTTTAAAGATTTTAAGCCCTTGAGGTTTTAAATCTGTAGCTTTAATTTGTGTTTTGTATAGAGTATAGTTGATTGTTGTAAGCTGCTTTGAAACCTACATGGTGAAAAGTAGGAAATTATTATTATTATTATTATTATTAATTAATTTGGAACATGAACATGTGTACATAAACAAAAATTATAATAATGGTAGTGTTGCACAGACTCTTAAGCTGGAATTTTAGAGACCTGACAACAAACCCCATTGATCTCAAAGGCGTTTCCCCTGAGTAGGTTTGCACTGTTAATCTGTGTGTTGTAGGGACAGCCTATACATCAGAGGCAAAGAACATGTGGCCCTCCAGAGGTTGCTGGAATTCAAACTCCCATTGCCTCTAACCAGCATGGCCAATGGCTGAAAGAAGATTTGACAAATTTGTTGAAGGTAAGGCTACTGGAGGCTCCTAGCTCTGATGGATGTGATCTGCCTCTACTGCAGCAATGCTTCTGAATACTATTTGCTGGAAACTGCAGGAAGGATGGCATCTGGTTGCCCACTATGAGAACAGGATACCTGACAAGATGGCTCCCTGGCCTGATCCAGCAGGCTCTTGCGTTCTAATGGTGAGGGTGATGGGGCTTGCAGTCCAGCAACACCTGGAGAGCTACACATACCCTGCAGGGATGCGGGCTGTGGTCTAAACCATTGAGCCTCTTGGGCTTGCCGATCAGAAGGTCGGTGGTTCGAATCCCCACAACGGGGTGAGTTCCCGTTGCTCTGCCCCAGCTTCTACCAACCTAGCAATTCAAAAGCACATCAAAGTGCAAGTAAATAAATAGGTATTGCTGTGGCGGGAAGGTAAACAATGTTTCCGTGTGCTCTGGTTTCTATCACAGTGTCCCGTTGTGCCAGAAGCAGTTTAGTCATGCTGGCCACACGACCCGGAAAGCTGTCTGCAGACAAATGCCGGTTCCCTCGGCCTGAAAAACAAGATGAGCGCTGCAACCCCATAGTCGCCTTTGACTGGACTTAACCATCCAGGGGCCTTTACCTTTTACAGTGGTACCTCGGGTTAAGACCTTAATTCGTTCCAGAGGTCCGTTCTTAACCTGAAATTGTTCTTAACCTGAAGCACCACTTTAGCTAATGGGGCTTCCCGCTGCCGCTGCACTGCCACTGCATGATTTCTGTTCTCATCCTGAAGCAAAGTTCTTAACCCGAGGTACTATTTCTGGGTTAGCGGAGTCTGTAACCTGAAGCATCTGTAACCTGAAGCATCTGTAACCCGAGGTACCACTGTCCTTTTTTACATGCCCCACCACTGTCATACATGGATGTTCTTTACAACACCCCCGTGAGGTAGATTTGCTGGGTGCTTACGACTGGCCCAAGGACACCAAGTAAATTTTATGCTCTGAACCTGCTCAGCCTTTGTCGAATCCTCAACTCACTACCCTAACGAGTTTTGAAGAGGTGGACTATCCAAGCCATTGTTTTTAATATTAGAGTCAAAAAGCTATGGCACATTCTGAGGCCTTATGGTCTAAAATCTTAACTTAAACTTTTTTATTTTAAAAAAGTATATAACGTTCTCCAAGAAAATTGGCCTGTCGATTTTCCCCCCTTTTCTTTTCAACACGCAGATACGGGCACTAGCTGGGGGCACTCTGAATGTTTTCAGCTCACAACTCTGCCATTTTGATGGCTTTCTGTTCCTCCACCCCCGCCTGCAATCCTCTGCCTGCATTTCATATTGTTTTCAAAGGGTCTTTTTCTACAGCTTCTTGTCAGGCCTGCACCCACTGATTCCTGGACTGCCTCCACAGACGGTGGCAGGTCCTCTTCTCTTCAATCGCTTTTGTATGCCATGTACGTGCCTGAATTTCAGCAGTGGTAGACTTATGAAGTCAGGGGACAGTATTCTTTTATTAACTGCTGATAATATTTCCTTTGTCTCCTGTGTTCCTTCCCTCAGAAAAAAAAAGCACCTGGGATAAGATAACAGCAATTAGAATTCATTTTCTCTTCATTTAACTTGATATTCTATATAATTTCTTTCTGACACATTCAGTCTCTCTAAGTAGCTTGAGATTAGAAGGGCTACAATGACCTGTGACACATCTACAAAATACCCAGGAGTAATTCTTGGTGTTAACCTTCAATAAACGGATGGATTATATTATAAATAATAAGATAGCTAAATATAGGCACAGCCTATGAATTAAACATGGCCCCAACTTTGCATGATGCTAATTTATTCTGGCACATCTTGATCCTTGTGAGGCAGCTGTGTCCTTCTCAATGTTTTTTAATTGTCCAGTAGTTGTCCTTTATCATCTAGCTGTTGCCTGCTGTGCAATGTACAGTAAATCTGTTGCCAACCCCTTTACATCATATATGATCAGAGAGGTGGGCTTGGCTTCCAGTACAACTATGGAAAAATCAGGGAAGAATATAGCTACAATAAATTGGTTGCTGTTCTAAGATACCCTATTAACAACATCATGCTTAGGCAGAAACAGCATGTAGAATGCTGGCCACAAAACAAACATATTCCTGTGCTTCTGCTAAAACAATGATAAGTATTGTGGCACCTTCAAGATGTAAGAATGCACTCAACAAAGTGGTCCTTTTTGCACAAGGACTTCTACTTACAATATGGACCTTCCCCTCCCTCTTCTCCTCTGAGTGCACCCCCCCCCCCAAATCTGAGAGTTCCTCCACTTCTCCAGTTTAGATTTGGGGACATCCATGGGGCATGTGGAGAAAGGAGAGGATTGAGAAATTGCATTACGAAAGTCCTTGCATGAACAGGGCAACTTTGTTGGATACAACCATAATAGATTCACTAGGGAATAAGTATTTGTGGCCTAGAGTCAACTTCATCAGACCCATGAAGTGTAATCCTAAGCAGGCAGGTATACATATGGGTGTAAAAGGGAAAATGTGTCAAAGAAACAATTCATGTAGAGATTAAATGCACGCACAAGTGTTTCTTCACAACGGTTATCAGAGATAACACCAGTGCTTTTTTTCTGAGGGGACGCAGGG